TCAAGAACAAGGAGTCGTACAACTCCCTGGTCAAGAACCACCTTTCCGCTTCCGTGGGACGCCACCACCCCATGATCAGGCGTCAGATGCGGCTCCTAAACGGTGGGGGAGGATAGATCAGATCCACCAACCATAGGCCAAAGACAAAGACGACAAGACACGAGTGTAAGCCGCGCTTTAACCCAAAGCAAGTCCTATGCTACGATGGTCAAATTACTAAAGGGGAAGTTCACTCCTAAAATGAAACCATCACAACTTGTAGGGAAAACATGCACTGATTCCAATGGTGAAGGTCCCAGGTTGATCGGAGCAGCCGTTCCCGAGTTATACCAGCTTGACGTTTGCACTAAATTAGGTGACATCATGATGACGTATGGCCTATACTCCAGTGTGGCCTACTAGTGTACTCCGGAAAATACGCTGATGCAGCGGAAGATAGGCAGACCACCCAACAGGAGCAAGAGCAGACTGATTGATATCGATATCAACAATTGTCTTCTTCATTATCATTCTCAAGAAGACAATTGTCGAAACATTAGAATTATATCGGTGCCAATCAGTATATTGTCTTGCTCCCTATCGTGTGGTCCGGCATTCCACCATTGTATTGTGAGCCAATCAGACGGACAGACGGACAGACAGACAGACAGACAGACAGACAGACAGACAGACAGAAAGACAGAAAGACAGACGGACGGACGGACATACACACACATGCTCCAATGACAACAAACAATCAATGCAGAAAGGGAACAAAACAAACGCACAGACAGATATACACATACACACACATATACACACGCGTGCATACATGTGCACGTATGTGCACACACACACCCACACACACGCACACACACACGCGCATGCACGCACGCACACCCATACACACGCACACACACTACACAGGTACTTACAAACGCTGGCACAGGCGTATTGGCGAAGAGACGGGAGCCATGCCCTTTCGAATCGTGATTAAACTGTCGCGCGGTGGTGAAATCATCCTCGAAATAACAACTATCGACTTGAGACTGCACGGGCTCTTGCGGACGCCAAACATCAAAACAAACGCTCGGCTCGAGACGGTTGCGAGGCTTGCTCTTGACCTTCTCCGCACGTCGCGGTCTCGGAGCCGGTGGTCGCGAGCAGTCGCGGTACACCATACGCAGTCTCGCACAGTGCTCCTTCTGAACGGCCAGGCGGTGCCCTGTGCAAGAAGTTAGCGGGGAAGACGAGTGAATAATCGGTCGAACTGAGCACTGAGCATGAGCCCCAGCCAAATTGAGCAGTAGTGTCAGACGGAGTAACGACAAACTAAATTGACATGCACGTACGGAGGACTAGAGTATTGTCGGGCGCCGAAGAACTGGGGGTCAGCCGCCAAGCCTAGAACCGTTCATATCTTCCTGTATTACAGGCTATGCACAGTTGAGTGACCCTGTACATGTGTACAATGGTATGCTGTGCTTAGTGAAACTCCAGCCAGGACATTCTTCGGCGCTCCGTTCTTCGGCGCCCGACAGTACTGTAAGAGGATTTTGCAATGTTTTCAAACCCTTCCCCGGGGTAGTGGTGGACGGTGAGTAGATTCGTCATGCGGATCCCATCGCGTCCGTGGCTCTCGGTAACGACGAGTATACTCGACGTGTACTTTGTACAGAGTTTGCATACCCCATGGGTGTTGGTTAGCATATTGCGCATGTACGCACACACGCACGCACGCATACACACACAACACACACACGCAACACACACACGCAGCACACACAGGCACACACACACACGCGCGCACACACACACACACGCACGCACACACACACATACTAACCTGGCCCCTGGCTTTGAGCGCATCGCTCGACGAGAGCGAAGAATCGACTATCCTGCAGTATACGCTCATAAACTACGGGCAAGATCGCGTGGCTATCCAGTGTCTCAGCAGCCCGCGTCTTCAACTGTGCCAGTAGGCGACAGGCAGCATTCGGAGCACTATCAGCACCTAACTTCGGCTCCTCGGTTCGTTGGCTGGAGGTTTCGTTGTTGACGCTCGGAAACCTTCCGTTCGCGTCCAGTCGCACGCTGAGCAGCGTGAACACGGCGTGGAGGAGATTGTCTGTGATGTCCAGTGGTTGCAGTGGCAGGGGCTAGATGCACACCCACACACCGACACACGCACACGAGGCAAGTGAAAACACGCACACGCACGTGCATGCACACACACACACACACACACACATACACACACACACATGCACACACACGCACGCACACACGCACGCACATGCATACAAAAAACAACAACAAAAATGCGTGCACCCAGGCATGTACACCGGTACACACGTACAACACACACAAACATACACACGTGCACCAACAAACACACACACACACACAAACATACACACGTGCACCAACAAACAAACACATATACACACGACAAAACTCAAAGTCTGTGGGGATTTCCCTATTGAAATATTTTGTTAATTCACGTAGCTATGCAAAAGACGTTACTTCAGCAACGCCTGGCGCTAGCCAGGGTCCACACAGCTTTAATTCCGTGTTTGTTTGTTTGTGCCGTCGGCATGCCTGTCGGCATGCCTGGCGCTATCCCGTACCTGTCCCGTACCGTACCATCAAAGACATCAATACGGTGTTGTACGGTATAAGGATGTCGTATAGCATGTCGTACAACAGTACGATGAAATTGTGGGAGAAACCAGCGCCCGCTTGGGAACGATGAACATTACAACAGTCTTCTTGTGAGTGAGAGTCAGGCCAAGTTTCTGAAGATCAGTAGCGAGTGTTATCCCGGGCATTATCTTATCATTACAAGAGCATAGACAGGATGCATATTATAGGAGACCCAAGTTGCTGAAGATCAGTAGTCATTGCTGATAACGTGCAGAAAACTAAATCCGCAGCCTCTTTAGCCGTCGGACAGGATGCGTATTATAGGAGACTGTAAAGGTATGTAATGTGCTCCACAGGCAACCATGCATTCGGCCGTCAGCAACAGTTAAGCACAAGCACACTATCAAGGCAAGGACATTATCGTATTATTGTATTGTATCGTATTGTGTGGAATATTACTTTACCTCATTGGCTCAGCAGGTCAATGTATTACTACAAAAAGGCCAGAAAATCCGACTATGAGGGGCAGGTCTAATAACATGCATGATGAGCTAGGCAAAAAAGCATAGCGTAGGGCCCTGAGCTTCCGAGCTCTCTCGCACAACCCACTAAAACTGAACTGCTCAAGTCTCTGGAGGAGCAAATTCTGAGCCTCGCGGAAGGGGATGCCAGTAACGATAACGATGTCACGACCGATAAGTTGAATTCGCGACGAAATTCACGACGCCGCTTGCGTGCAGCTCTGGATGTCGAACAGAGATCTAGACGACCCTAAGCACAACAACACGGCCTTTGTCAAAGGAGAGCCTGTGGTTGAAAGACGCCCCGTGTGATACTTGGCCACATACACAGGAGAATTAGAACATCCGCTCCGGAATCAGACGTTCCAACCCAAGTGATCACCACCATTAAGCATGATTTTACTTCACTGTAGGTACAGGCAAAATCTGCCATCTCACTGGGCGTATTGCCACAGTTCTCGCAAAATCATTAAATGATGAAGATAAAAGTGTCCGTGTGCTCAGAACGTCTCACCTCGCTTTCGGGTGGAAGAAGCCGATCGAGCGGCACCTCAACACAGCGTCGACACGCAGCACTTCCCAAGCCGCCGCCCGTTGCCGACTTTGCCGTCTCTGTGACGACGTCGTCCATCTCGACTGTTGCCATGCAGTGTCGCTCGGACACGTTCTTGACAACGCCGAAAACAACGCCCGCGTCCCGCAGCCACTCGTCGGTGACCTGGACGCGAGTGCCGGGCACCAGGCGCTCCGTGAGCCCGCACATGGCGCTCAGCACCGCTATTGCCTGGCGCACCGGGCGGATGTCGTGACGCAGAGCCGCCGTGGCTTCGGCGAGCCTGCCACCACCGCCGCCGCTCGAGCACGTGTTGGCAACGGCAACCAGGCGCGGCACGAACGCACGCACCGCCACGAGTCCCTTGTTGAATGCCTGAGCACACGCACAACAGACAGGTAAGTATAAAGTGGTGTAAAATTTAACCCTCTCACTACCAGCCATTCAAATATCAATCCATGTGGATCAATGCAATAGGCGATCACTAAATATTTCGTCACACGCTCAAATATTATCGGATTATTACAAATGAGGGCTCTACGTCTTCAGAAAAACCTGGACTATCGACTGCAACTATCGCTTTCACTCCTTGGTGCATAATTGGCGCACGACGAAGAATTTTTGTAGACTGTGAATTGACTCAATTTCGAAAATAATGGGTAGTGAAAGGGTTAAACTCGGGTACTGAGCCAGTAATACATGTGAAAGAAGAGAAGAAACACGCGAGATATATGCATGAGAACAAGTTATGCAGCAACTATCCACGACTGTAACAAGATGATAAGCAGTCGGTAAGTGCGATGATAGGGCACAAAACTGACCCTCGTTGCAGTCGTGGATAGTTGCTGCGTAACTCGTTCTCATGTGTTTCTTCTCTTTTTTACAAGGCGGTGTAACTTTGATTGCGGTCATTTCGGCAGAGAAACCGGGCACATAATGTTTAGATGACCGCCTAGCACTGGCATGGACTGCTTGTACGGGAACAAGCCAAGGACTTTTGAATTCTTTATCCTCGCGATGGCATCATCGCCAATAAGAGATAAGTTTATGAGAAGGTCGGATGCTGTAGGTGGGGCTGTGGGTCATGCAGTTGGAAAGTAATTTACATCACTTTGAATTTTACAAGTTTGGGAGAGGGTGAGCGCTGCAGGAGCAGATTGAGTTCATCAGCAGTGAGTAGATTTCTTGTTTGAAATGGGACTTACATTATGGCATTGTGCTACAGATACGCAGATTTCATCGTCAGCTTTTCAACGATCGCATCCAACACACCATGGCTGGCCACAGAACACAGGTGCCTTAGCCGTACTGTCGACAGGCAGACTAGAGCAGCAGACAGTGATAGGGACCCTACCAGCATTTTTTTTTAATTTAATTTTTTTTAAAGAACTCAGATGGTGAGCTAAGAAAACAATTTTGTAACATGGAAATTGTGGGCACAAGTTATGCAATCGAGTCCACCAAGTAAACCAGATTTTGAACAGTCAGACGTGCACAATCTAGCACAAAACTGACAAGGAGTACTGAGACACTCCACGGCATGAAAAAGTCAGCTTGAGCACTGCTCGATGGCGCTAACCAACGGCCTTCCAACTTGGAAGGTTCATGGATATTAGTGCGCCATCGAGCCGAGCACAAGCTACATTCCAAGGCTGCATGGAATGCTGGCCTGGTATGATGACGGGACGGCAAGACCAGACAGAACGGTCAAACCACAATTCGACAACGCAAAGCAACAACCACCCAACTTGGGAGGCTCAATATATTTTTGTGCTAGATTGTGCACGTCTGACTGTTCAAAATCTGGTTTAGTTGGTGGACTTGATCGCATAACTTGTGCCCACCTCGTTGATAGCTCTCAGCCAGAATCCAGCTGCCTCCGAATCCTGGTTGAGCATCAAGCCTCTCAGCAGGCCAATAACCTCCGAGGCCATGATGGTGGCAGCGTTACCACTGATGAACGGACGCTGGGAGTTCACACTGCCGCCAGGAAACAAAGGGAAACGGGGAAACATGGAAAGAAAGAGACACAGCAGTACTGAAAGATCACGAAGCATGGACTGAAGATACGTGCCCTGTTTGCCACCAATTCACAATGCTTTAACGTCTTGCATCCCACACCGCATGCTTGTGATCACGAGTATGAAGCAATGAGAGTAAAATGCTATAGATTCGAATCCTTCACGAGTGGATCTCACGATCAATCGTCACCATTGCCAGAGGAATTTCGAGCGTGTCAGGTGGAAGTTGCAATAGGACAAGCGTAAAGTGATTTGAAGAAGACAAGCGCCACAAGCGCCTCACCCGCAGATCAGGCCTCCTCAGATCTCAGCCATGAGAAGACAGCGAGGCGGCTCTCTCTGTCCCTCCCTCCCTCCGTCCCTCCCTCCCTCGTCATGGATATGGTTAACAGTTAAAAGTGTCGGAAGACATTTATCAGCGTCTGTATACTACTATAAACCCAATTTGTGTGTACAGAAGTATAGCATTATTACATTGAAAATGTTCAAATGACGTCTTGTGTTTAGTGTGGCCATGCGTGGCAGTTATTTGTTCTAGGTGAAATGTTTTGCTGTGTGTATTAGCACTTTGTCCTATTTACTTGAATTCTTCATATCGTATTGAGAGTCTAGCCGTATGCTTAGAAGAGAATGTAGAAATGCAGGTGTATCTGGTGAAGTAAAATAAAAACAAACAAACAATTGGTCATAACTAGTGTTACTTATTGGTCCTTCCTCTTAATTAAAAAACAAAACAAAAAATATATATATACTGAGATCTCCACTCACCTAGCGTTTTCTCGGTTCTTTTGCAGACATGTTGCCTCCATGTGAGTTTTTTCTGGCGTATCGGAAAATCGATGTCCAACGGGCTGAAGACGGAAGAGAGACGAACGAAACGAGTGTGTGTGTGTGTGTGTGCGCGCGCATGTGTGTGTGTGTGTATGTGTGCAAGCGATACACGCACGTGTGCGCGCGTCACGGCTGTTCACGCGCAGGCACTTATAAAGATGGCGTCGTTCGGTGCGATTTATGTAACATTGTGCGAATAGTACAAATACGCGATGAGTTTGCGTTTTTGGAAGAAACTCATGTCGATCCTCGCGTGGTTCCACGATTTGGGATGCGAAACCAAGAGAAAAGCTTTGAAAGCGCTCGAGCGAGATACTCGACTTTTCGGCAATTTGAGAGAGAAAGAGGGTGGAAAGGTGTCCTGGCCTGCCCAGTTAGCTGTCTTTCCGCTTCAAGTTTGCTCGAACTACTCCTGGCAGTCTGGAGATTGATCTCGCCAGTGATTGTCAGCCTCTGCTTGCGTGCTCGCGTGTACAACATTCAAGTTAGACATTTCGTAATCGTTCAACGCACAATAGGGTAGATATCACAATTTCAAGCTCACTTGGCCGGCTGCTGTCTTCTTCTACAATATCCCACATGCCGACTACGCAATTTACAGCAGGAAGCAGCCTTCTACACTCAACAGCAACTAAAGGGCCACACCATTTGTCTTCCAAATCAAGAGAAAACATGCTCCTGACTCGTCGCGCGTATTTAGAAGTTTACGCGCGTATCCTAATGACACTTGGGGAAGACAACAGAGGATAGTCCTCTACCTGGAAAATATCGATCTAAGCTGGGAAAAAATCGGGAAGGGCTTCTCAGAGCCGAGTTTGTCAGCGACGGCACAAGGAGTATTCCAGAACGAAGCCAAAGTCGCACGACACAGAACAAACGTAACATTATGTTTCTTGAAGGAAAGGCAGTCATGTGAGGTACGAGCGGAAAGCTTTAAACAAGACGCAGATGATCAGCGTGTTCCCCGGGCTGTCCGGACTGACTAGTCTCCAAAATCCAGGGGAAACCATGGCCTCCTCCTGTTCTGACGGTTTGAAAATTCAAATTTTCTTGCCATTGAAGCCCAATCGAGACTTTCGGCGGCCATATTGTTAAGTGGCGTGAAATAGCACAACAAAAAACAGCCGTGGCGTGGGTGTGTGCATAAGAGAGAGAAAGAGAGAGAGAGAGAGAGAGAAGAGAGAGAGAGAGAGAGAGAGAGAGAGAGAGAGAGAGAGAGAGAGAGAGAGAGAGAGAGAGAGAGAGAGAGAGAGAGAGAGGGAGGGAGGGAGGGAGGGAGGGAGGGAGGGAGGGAGGGAGGGAGGGAGGGAGGGAGGGAGGGAGGGAGGGAGGGAGGGAGGGAGGGAGGGAGGGAGGGAGGGAGGGAGGGAGGGAGGGAGGGAGGGAGGGAGGGAGGGAGGGAGGGAGGGAGGGAGGGAGGGAGGGAGGGAGGGAGAGAGAGAGAGAGAGAGAGAGAATGAGAGAGAGAGAGGGGGGGGGGAGGAATACCAATGTGGAACAGAACAGACGGCCAATGCCTGAAACACCCATCGTGTACAAACATACACACACTCTCAACCATCAGCAGCTAAAGCATCAGCAGCTAAACACCCAGCAGCAGCTAAAACACCAAACACAGCAGCAGCAGCAGCAGCTAAAACACCAAACAGCAGCAGCAGCTAAAACTAGGGGTGAAAGGGGAGATCCGGGTACCCGTCTGTTTAGCTGCTGATCCGTTAGCAAACGAGTACCCGTTAGTCGTGAACGACGGTACCGTACGGGTTTATTAGCTGGCTGTGACAGTCGTACAGTTCGATGTACAGTTTGAAGGTGTTGTTGGTTGTTTGATGTTGGTTCATAGGACAATTTTGACTGTTCTGCATGCAGCGCTTGTCATAATGCAGTGTTTTGCTGTGAATTGCATGACTTTGTATGTCCTCCGGGCACAATGTGGAAGGCTATTGTATAGTAAATGTTACTATTGGCTGCAAACGGGTACCCAATAACCCGCCCGTAAAGCCATGTACCCGTTTGGAACCTTAAAGGGTAACCGTTTCATCCCTAGCTAAAACACCAGAGAGCAGCAGCACTCGCAGCAGCAGCAGCTACAACACCAGACAGCAGCAGCAGCAACAGCAGCAGCAACAGCAGTAGTATCATGAGCGGACGGTGGCGGTGTGACCGTGTGACTTACGACGGGGTCAACACAAGTAAGCAGCCCCACTGCCGCCATTTCGCGCGCCGAGGCCAAACACTGTGCCCTGTTCTTCTTATCTATCAGCACACGGCCAGTCTTGGTCATCTCGCGTGCATTGGCCGCAATCCCGGCCTTCTTGGACGGCGGCGGTCCAAAGTTAGCATCGGGAGACGAGTTGTAGTAACTGGACAGCACACAAAGTCAACACAGGTCTGTGATTCCCCACCTAACCCATGACAATAACAACAACAACAGCAGCAGCAGCAGCAGCAACAAATAGTGGCCCAAACTGGGTGAAGTTTGCCTGTGGACGAAAGTCGACAGTGGCACTCAGGACTGCATGTTTGCTTGTCGACTGTCGTCGACAGCGGCGCTCAGAGCGCATGAATGGGCTGTCGACTAAAGTCGACAGTGACAGTGAAAGGGATACTCCAATTTCAGAAATTTTCGGTGATCAATATTCTCGGTATGAGGGCAACAGGCCAGGTTAGGCGAACAGAAAGTTTAGGCACAGAGAAGCAGTTCCCTATTGGATTATGTGTGTTAGTGTTTGTTCGGTGTATTGAAATTTTAGGTATGAAACAGATGCACCGAAAGTACCGAAAATAAAAGTACGCCGGAAATTTGTGTGTAAATTCCATGTAATAAGAACAGGGACTCACTTGCTGTGTGCATAGTGAAGGACCAGGAAGGCTAAAAGCAATGCTACAACAAAGAGCTGGATTGCTAAACCAGATAGAACCAATTTTCATCACTCGTCGGATCAACAAAAAAAAGTATTCACCTATTATTAAATGTGCGGTCAGTATCCAGATCCACTTTTGGGTTCCAGTTATGGCTCTGGTCAGATTTTGAATGTGAAATTGTGCCTGCTACTTGCTAGTGCCCCTGGACATTCGGAATACACGGAGCTGAAAATCTGATTTTCTCCAATTTGGCGGATACAGGTCTACACGCGTTAGTACGACATCGGTTACCACGGTTACAAGACAAACCTCATTAGTGGACAACTACGCATCCAAAATCCCCCGACGCCTGAAATGCGCGTACCTTCAAGTCCGGATAGTAGACAATACTCGTTATAATTACGGAGTACAGGCAGACATTTTCATTGGTGAATAATTTCGTCCAACTCCAAAGAAAGGGAGTTCGTCCGGTTGTAAATTTCGTCCATGGATCATAAGCGTGTATTGAAAAGCTGGACAAATCGACATCAGTTGGACGAAAAAAAGACGAAATTAACTTCCAGACGAATATTTCTGCTTGTACAGTACAGCGATTTCGAAACCCCCGGGGCTTGTCTACTAATGAGGGCAGATGAGAGAGAGACCTTTGGTCGGAGGAGTTACTTTTGCCCCGCCCCCACTTCCATCCAATATGCCACCGCCCCCGCTGTGCAGCATCTGATGGTTCTGTGGTATTCAGTAAAAAAAAGAAAAAGAAAAAGACATGCATTGAGTCGGTTGCATCTCCAGCTCAATGAAAACACACACCACTGGCTCTTACTGCCAGTAGCAGGCACAGTTCTCCTCCTGGGTCTTGAACAGCCCCGGGTCGAACACCAGATAGAGTCCGACCATCTTGTCGTCGTGGTGCTGGTCCCCGCGACAACGCCTAGCACCGCCAGCAGCGCTGCTGCCAGCGCCGTCCTGAGCAGTGTGCTGCTGCTGGGAGAGGGCTGCTGCCGCCTCTTCGAGGTCGACGGACGCCTGACGCTGCACGGACTGCTGCTGGCCATAGGACTCCAGCGTGTACGGAGAGCCTGCACACATAAGAGCACAACAGCACACACATATACATATAGCTTGCTGTCTACAGCATTCGGTATAGTCATATATATATATAGCCATGTATTTTAATGCATAGGACTCCAGGGTGTACGGAGAGCCTGTACACACATAAGTTATGATAACAGCACACATTAAACACGCACACACACATTATAGCTTGCTGACTACAGTCCATTTCAAAACTATAGACGCGTACCTAGGCAAAAACCGTTATGCCAGCATCTACATGTATACCACATAAAATCTGTGATCACTTTGTGCATAAAATTTTCCAAATTGTGCGTCTGTTATCCAATCGTTTAGAAACTATATGAGAGTAATTGTGGAGCGGACCTGAGCAATATTCCGAAAACTATTCTAAAAAAGTTCCAGCCAAATTTGAAATATTTCAAAAACCCTACGCGTCTAGTTTTGAAATGGACTGTACAGCATTGGGTAGTCATACATAGTCATGTATTTTAATGCATAGGACTCCAGGGTGTACGTAGAGCATGCATCTAATACACCACATTGAGATTATGTATACGATGAAAATTGGTGCAGTTTTGGCCGCGTCTGCCGCACTGCTTCCGACACCCCTGCTGAAAGGCACTCATATATGTACACACGCACGCGTGCGCACGCACGCACGCACCCACCCACCCACATCCACCCACTCACCTGGCACAATGTAATCGCCCAGCTTGGATAGCAACAGCGTCACAATAGCCGTCGACGGAGACACACGACCGCCGGTGGTCTCTGCAGCGCCAGGAACGTTTCTCGAGCGCGGCAGACTGATCTCCTGGCAGTCAGCCATGGACATGAGCGGTAGGGCGGCGCGACATAGCCGCAGCACCTTCAGTACCAAGTTTGGTGATGGCCTGCAAGGACACATGGGGGGGGGGGGGGGGGACAGGACAACATGGTGAACTATAGGGCTTGAAAGTGATGACGTCAAAAACGGCCAGGGAGTAGTAAGTTCACATCAGATTTCTATTTTGGATCCACTAAGGTGTGACTTTGCAATTGCCTCAGTGTGTGGGTGAATAGCAACCCACGCATGTTGTATGCAGGTGTGACTTTTTCTTCGCCACCAGTTGTCACCCCACCCCCATTAGCCAACCCAGTCAATTTCACTCGCTATATCACCTTGCTGTAAGACCGCTTGATATGTCCTTGGATCCATACAAAAACTGAATTTTTGAAATTGTTGCTATGCTGTGACATACTGAAAGCACTTTCAAGCTCTATTGTAAGACCAGTAATGTTCACAAACATTTAATTTACGAACATTTAGTTCTAAACGATTTAATGAAGTAAAAAAATCATTAACATTAGAAGTGGTTATGTCCAAATTTGCCGGCTTTTAGACAGAATTTGTTAGAATTTCACCTCGCTAACCCACAAAAATCCGGAGATCGTTAACTTCAACTAGCACTGTTTGGAGTCCTCGCCTCTGTGCGACCGCGTTATCACATCACTAATGAACGGATTCTCCATGCAGATATCCATATTAATAAACTGTTGAACGGTACCTTTCGGCTTTGGAGCGCATGGAGGAGGAGAGTTAGTTTCTTCGATATCCATATTCACATATCTAGTCTTGACAAACCATAGCCCACACACTCACGTCTCTGTTATCAGGGTGGTCCGGGACCGGGCACTGGCCACAACATGGAAACGTCCCAAACTCTAAATCACGTACATTTTGACGTTGGGAAGTGCCAGAGATCCGGCATAAGACGTCACTATTTTCACACACATTTGCAAAGGAGTAGTAATATTTCCACTAGAGCTCGCCTACATGGGACGTGCCCGGTAAACCAAGGTGCCCGTAACTTGGCTCTCCGGATAGGAGAGCTATGAGTGTACTAAGAACGACAGGTGGCATCGAGCTAAAGGAGGTGACGAGATCGCCCAAATAAGGCAGAAAAGTGCAGCTAAAGGTGGTACATTCATGACTGCCATGCGTGTACGTGACTCATCTCCCTAGCTATGCAATCAGGTACCTGTGATCACAGAGTAGTGACAGTAGCTTGGTGATGCAGGATGGACGGCTGAGGATTACCGGACCCATACAGTTCCTGTAGTGTATGTGTGTGTGCACGTGCACAGACAGGCATCATCGCAAGACACACAAACACGTGCAGCAGAACACAGACGTGCACATACGCACACATACACGCACGCAACACACGCACGCAACATACACAAGACAGGAGAGTGAAACAATGAGAACAGAAAAAGATTCTTTAAAGAACTCAGATGGTGAGCCAAGGAAAAAATCGATCGCATAACTTGTGCCCACATCTTCCATGTTAAAAAAAGATTTTGACAGGGATAAGACTGCCCCCCCCCCCCCCCCCCCACGGCTGTATTTTACGGTAAAAGTCGGATGTTCAAAATGGTGTTCAAAAAGTCATGATCAAACGACGTCGTCATCTCCTATTGTCCTGGGCTGGGTTTCCACTGATACTTGGAGGGGTATGTGCTGCTCATAATAAAGGAAATCTACGTATTCTATGATGCTTCCGCGTGCACGAGGCTGTCTTCTTTCTAGACTCCGAAGTTGGTGGAGCTTCGAAAATGTTTCGCTCATCAATTCTACCTTCCTTCTTCGCCTTTCCCCTCGTAGCCCTCCAAAACCAGTACAGGGCAAGTTAGCCGGTGTGCCTAACGTGTGCGGAGGTTTCCAGATCTACGCTGACAGTTTTTCTTGACAGATCTAGGCTTCTTCCAGAAGTGTGCCAAAGCTTGCTGCGGCAGGATAAGCCGATCTCTGGCAGGAGCTGCCCAAACTTACATTGCCTGCATGGGTATGGATTTTCATGTCGAAAATTCGAATTCGTTGTGCCGAGTTGGAGGATGCAAGCTGCCCTCGGTCCGGAGTGGCCGTCAGTCTACTACATACTTTGCCCAGGATTATGCACCAGAGGGAAAGAATTTTTTTATGATAGACGTTTCAGAAGATGAAGAGAATGTGCATCCAAAGTACTTCTGTGCTGCATGCAAAACAGCAATGCAAGACTACAAATCTAGTGCAGACAGTGATGAAGTGGTAGTTGTGGGCAGGGAAAATCAGTTGTATGGGAGACCCACAAGAGAGCAGACTGTAGTGTTTGCATCGCCCTGCACAAAGTTGCTAGAGGTGGTCGTCCCCCTAAGCCTCATATGTACAAGAAAGCAACTTCTGCTCCGAAGCCAGAAGATCAGCCACGTGAATACCAATGCAGTACTGTAAGCAGTGCACTAGACATGTCTCTTTCCGAGCTACTGTGCAGAGCAACTTCGTCATACGTTTCAAATCTGGAGCTATTGCCCAGTCGTTTCTCTTCAAAGTTGGAAACCTTAATTTGCCCCATCTGCTCCTTAGCTGTTAAGTCTAAGTGCTCCTCAACGCTGTTTTGCGCAGCATGTGTATATGCATGGCACGAGTGCTCCCAGCTTTGCAATGGGTGCTCAAACCCCACGCTGCTGTCCTCCCATTCGCAACCTCATTCTGGGCTTCGGCGTATTCTGTCACAAGTACATATCAGTTGTGACAATGCCAGTACCTGTCTGTCTACTAAGGACGAATTTCAAACTCCGCTCAGTCCAGAGGTTCAACCCAGAAGCCTTGATCAACTGAAAGGGGACTTTGGCAGGTGTTCAGGTAGTGGCGGTGCACTTTCTACGGCTAAACACTACAGCAATGTGATACGCCCAACTATCATTCCAGCTGAGCTTGATAATATCCGTATGCCAGTCCTGCACCTGGACCTCGGGATTTCCCGTGGTTATACGAAGCTATGATCCGGGACACAGACTCGTTAGACCTCAGTATCGCCGAGTCAGGCCAGAGCATAACGCCAAAGTTGACACAGCCGAATATTCCCACTTCATTGCATGTGCGGGTGCTATGCATCCGATGTGGGCCGTTCAAGACAAAAGAGCTGCAGAGCTCGGTGTCCAAGTTGAAAGGCTCCAAAATGTCCTCAAACAAGCCAAAGTCAGTATGGGCCCATGCAGCCGCTCGTTTGAGGTTGTTCTCAAAGCAAACCGTATTGAAAGGCAAGCATACCACTCGGGTGCATTCGTGGGAAATCATGTGCATAAGGCATTACAAATCAAAGTCACAGAAGCAATAGTCTCTGCATCTTTAAATACTGTGCGAAGTCTAACCAAGCCCGAGGGCAGAGCAACAGCTAACACACAAGCACAGGACAAGCTCCACACACAAGCAGAAGACATACAGACCAGGTACAGAAGTCTGTTCAACAACTATGCAAGATGCAGAGCATTGTTTGCAGGCACTAAAAAAAGTGACAGCACAAGACCTTACAGTTCCGAAGCAAGAGATCGACGATTTCCTTTCTTCTGCCAGAACAGAAGTGGTACGTTGACACAATAGAAGAGTCACGCCAAAACTCCACATACTTGAGTATCACACGGTCCCATGCATGCAGAGGTTTGGCGTGGGCCTTGGCGTACTCGGAGAGCAAGGGGGTGAGGGCGTAGTGACTTCGTACATGCGTTTTGTATATAACTCATTTTTCGTAAAAATGGCCGCGGTATATATATTTTCGCATGGAAAGAAATAAACTTTCTCTTTGGCTCCAACTTCGTTGTGGTCTGGTTGGCCATTGTAGCCGTCATGGTTGACGTAAAACACCATAAGGGTATTCACGCCCATTTCAACAAACTCCAACGGTCACTGAACAACCTGCCCAGGGACGTAGACCGGCTGCGAGTCCTGGTGACTCGGTACTTGTTATCAACTTTTTTTCTCTTTTTTTCACTGAATACCACCGAACCATCAGATGCTGCACAGCGGGGGCGGTGGCATATTGGATGGAAGTGGGGGCGGGGCAAAAGTAACTCCTCCGACCAAACGCCTCGGATTCATCGTTACTCATGTGCGCCTTTACCTGATTACAACCGCCGCATTCTTGCTCCAGGAGCTAGGAAGGAGATTAAACCAGCTTCACGAGCAACTGCTCTGCTACACTTCATCCGCACGCAGGCTTCAGGTCCATCGTGACATCAAGCGTCCTTCTTAGATTCCACTGCACAACACGTTCAGTCATTTTCTTCTTCTCAAGCATCTCTGTCTTTCTAATATTTCTGAAGCGCTCAGTTAGGATAGGTAGAATATAGAATACTGTCTAAGCAGAAATATTCGTCTGGAATTTAGTTCGTCTTTTTCGTCCAAGGAGCTTTTGGACTAAATTAAGTGCCGGGCGAATGTCGACTTGTCCAGCTTTTCAATACACTCTAATGGTACATGGACGAGATACGACGTCATTTTGCCTGGTGGCCACGCAAAACGGCCGTGAATACTTCCCGACCAATAATTTTATACTGTGATTTTTGAAGAAATGAAATATGGGCTATGTAGGCCCAATGGCACGTATTCACTGAAGGCGCACGTGACTAGCGCTGCGGGGAAACAAGTAGGTTTTCTCATTTGCGTACATAGTAAATTCGCAATTTACTCTTGACTTGTTGAGCCGTCTCGAACGTTGTATTCCGCAAATTCCACTTCGTTGGGTCACTACTATTGTATACCTTGAAGACCAGTAGTCTATATCGAAAGAAACTCACAAGTTCCAGCGATTAGAGAAACTTCTTTTCCACGCATTTGTATGCATTTGTATGCGGAATCGAACAAGTGTCCCCCCAGCGTGGCTCACGTGCGCCCATACCATGTATGCAGCGTGGGCGTCCGCCATTTTAGATGAATACGTGCCATTTTCCTAACATTCTCATTGGGGATAGCCCCCAGCCCTCAGCCCCCCCCCCCCCCCCCCTCTCCCTCCCCACCTTTTCACAGTCACCCCAGTGTACAGTACCTCCCCATGCCCCTGGACTTACGCGGAGCGAGTGAGCGAGTCGAGGAGGGTCAGCACCGACTTGAGAGCACCGTACGACTCATCGTTGTCCAGGTGTCGAGCGCGGGACAGCAGGCCGGCAATCACGTCACTGATGCCGACAGCCACGCGTTTGTGAGCCTGGTCCACGGATCCTAATGCATGCACGCACACGCACACACACCTCAGACCTCAGACCTGCCCATCGCGGAAGCGATGATAGCGAACAGCCATGTTAGACATAGCAACTTGTGCTGGGATTACACCATTCAACAGCTTGCAAGGCTGATGAATTGACCGCCACTATTTTTAGCCTGGTATACACACACACACGCACACACACACACGCACGCACGCACGCACGCACGCACGCACGCACACACACACACACACACACACGCACGCACACACACACACATACATGCACGCACATACACACACACACACGTGCACGCGCGCGCACACACACACGCACGCACGCACGCACGCACGCACACACACACACATACATACACCATTGTACAGAGTACAAAACAAAAACAACACACACTCTAAGACCATGGGGAGCACTGATGCGCTATGCGACCACCACCGCGTAGGTCGATTCACACGCCCGCATCAGAAAAACGAGAAAAAAATGTTCCCATGATCGACCAAAAGGCCTTGGGCACGTGGAGGTGGAGAAAACAGTGACCAGTACAGAAAGCGACACAGCCAACTTCCCTGTCGTTCTCCTTTTTCCTGGCTAGAACCCTGCATGCGCTACTGTAAGAGTTGACTAGCTAGCGGAACAGAAGACAGGTGTGTGATGGCAGGGTCATTAAACTTTGTGCCCGCCAAGTGGGAAAATTTTGCAAATCGTTAAATTTTAGACTCGTCACACTTTCAACTCTTCCAGTAACTTACCGCCATCGTGGCCGTGTGTATTCCACTCCAGCACGTGTGCCACAAGCACCTGGAAACCTAGCCAGACAATGGATGCCGACGAACTGGGCGACAGGCCGGCATGTTTGTCGTTCATCAGCACTCGTCCGCACAGCTCTAGCAAGCCGCTGTTCGCAAGCAACTCTGCGTCACCACTGCAGACACAACACACGACACAAGAGAAGGTAAAGTGATGGCACCTGAAATCCGACCCCTGAGCGGTGCATCACATTCTAGCGGTCTCTATATTTCGTAGTAAATTACCATCCCGTGTTGGGTCTTTGAGATGTGAGCTCAGGGTGTCAGATTTCAGTTGCAAGCACTGTAGGTACAGTGCTACAGTGCAGGCCAGAGAAACCCAATCTCATGATTATAAGGTAGCGCCGCGTTCCAGTGTCTAGAACAGTATGCGTAGTGCTACATGTAGTGCTGCGTAGCGCACAGTGCTACTGTAAGACCAGTAACGCTAACGAACATTTAATTCTAACGAGTTAACGAATTTAAAAAATTCGTTAACATTTTGAAGTCGTTATGTGCAAAACGATATGCACATGTACAGTCCTTGGCCGGTTTTGAGACAGAATTCGTTAGAATTTCACCTCGCTAACCCACAAAAATCCGGAGACCGTTGACTTTAATTGACGTTAAAATATCTGGTCTTACAGTAATAGTGAGGTTCTGCTACACGGAACTACGTACCAAACTCCGTGTCAACTGCAGTGAAGTTTGACACGGATTTTTCGTATGTTGCGCCGGTTCTGCTGTGCGCGGCATGCTCGAACTCCCTGCCACATGTACTCTGTCCGCTCAGTTTCGCACGGAGACCAGTCCGTGTGAAGCGCGAAAACGGTATGGAAAAATCCGTGCGAAACTTGATCCCGTACCGCGGCGAGGTCTCCATACGTACGTTGGTACGTTTTACCGTGTGAAAGACACTCACTATTATATTCATGAGGTTAGATTTATTTGGCCAGCACAGTAGGTGCACACCGGTGCGGACTATCGTGGACGTTGAAATCCGATGGGATGACCGCGGCCGGCACCCTTACTGCTTTCAGTGCGTACACAAGCATTGTAGTTCACGTACACACTGTGTAAAAATGGACCAGCAGTACTCGGGGCTGCATGGCCAGTGCCGCGTGGCCGCTTGACTGCTCGGCAGATTTTAACGTCTGCCACAGTGCATATACATGCAAGCACACGCATGCGCACGCACGCACGTGCACGCACACACACACACACACACACACGTACACACACAGCCCCCATCCACCCCCACCCCCCTGCCCACTCGCACATATAATCACGCCTCACCCACCTTTCAAACGGAATGGCACACAAACGGCCTACGCTGACCAAATCCACCGATCTCCCGTCCACAGCCGCCACTAGGTCATAGAGTAGTTCACCAAACTGCTGCCGTACACGACCTATCCCGGTCACGGATATCAGCTCCTTGTACCTAGCACAACAGCAGACAACGCACGGACACACACACACACACACACACACACACACACACACACACACACACACCAGAATAAGCCCATTGCGCATTGCCAAATATGGAAGGTATGAGTAATGCATATGAGTACGCTGGGATCAGCAATGCACTGTTCAACACCCCAGACGACCATGCCCAGGTGGCTGTGTGGGGTGTTTGTGGTACAAATTGCGTCATTGCGCAATGGGCTTATAATAGGGATATCAGCGAACGCACTGCGCAGCCCATCTGCGCAGGTCAGCCTGGCCAATCTACGCGCGGCCGACAAAAAAACTCATGAACGCTTTCATTTTTTTGCAAAATAAATCGTGCGAAGAAGATGCACGGAATGGCTGAAAACTAGGCTGAGGAAAAGTAGCATCCAGAGACTCTCAAACAAATTCATGGTCCATCGCTTCTGACAATGGCAGCGAAGACATCAGGGAGCTGATTGCAGCAACTCTCTACCAAGCACGACGCTGGTTACTCACCAGGGCAGGGCGCTTCCATCGCGCAAAAAATGGCAGCGAGCGAGAAATGCAAGTCCGATTTTGGAACGATCCAACCAGGGAAATCCCTTGAAAATTGGCCTGAACAACTCTCATAATGGTGTTTCACGATGTGCAAACTTTCAGAGAAATCGACCGGGGAGAACGTGGCGAGTACGTGGGTCCTCCGTATCGCGTATGATTTGAATGGTCGCGGGGACAGAAGAACAGTAATTTTACGACTCCCAGCGGTGCAAACAGACCGCGGCCATGTTTTCTCTGTCGGCCGCGATCACGTTCAAAAAATCGATGCCGCAATGCATGCGCAGAGGCCTGCGCAGGGCGTTCGCTGACATCCCTACTTATAAGGAGTGGACATGTGACCATTAGAAATAACGAGTAGTCACGGCGGAACGATAGAAGACCAAACGCAAAATCCGACACATCCATTCCATCACTTTTCGGATAATGGCCAAAACAGGATTCATTTTATGTGCGGATTGTGTCTAGATCCATATTCGGGTTCCAGTTTTGCAATGGTTCTTGTCAGATTTTCGGACACTTACCGGGGACCGATGCTTAACAGCACGATAACTCGAGAGATCAGTCGGCGCTTAGCAGACACATCGCCATCGCCACCAGAAGTAGCAGCAAAGGGAGCTGCAGCTGCAGCAGCCGCACCGCTACCACCATCACCCCAGTCGAGTTGATCACCAGTAGCAGCAGCAGCAGCAGCAGCAGCGCCGGCAGCAGCAGCAGAGCGTGGCGAGTCCCCCCGGTGGTAGCTTCTGACCAGCGCCGTCATGTACTGCAGGCTCAGATGACGATTGAGCTCGCGAGCAGCGCGAAACTCCAGCATCTCCCTGAACTTCTCACAGTTGACCTGCATGCAGCACGTACACACACGCATGGTTTCATTCCACGTAGAGTAGCGATGTCATAGAGCACTGTGTTATATTACTACCACCCCGCATCATTCTATTTCCTATTTATATTTTTCTCCTCAGCTTCTTATTCATAAGCTGTTGACGAAGACTCACTCGATTTAGGCTAAGGCCTGTGGAGAATCCATAAATACAAAATACAAATGCATGCACACATGCACGTACGCAGGTACGCAGGCGCGCACGCACGCACGCACGCACGCACACACACACACGCACACAGATAATCACATCTGGTCACACACGCACGCACGCAAGCACACACACAATACTCACATTCATACACACACACATGCGCGTACACACACACACAAACACGCGTACACACACACACACAAACACGCGCACACGCGCGCGCACACGCACACACACACACACACACACATGCACGCATGCACACACGCACACATTCATACACACACCATGCGCACATACCACACACACGCACACACGCACGCACGCACACACACACACACACACACACACACACACACACACACACACACACACGCGGACACACACACACACACACACACACACACCAGTACACTCACCGGACACCCGTCGATAGTGACGAGGGAGACAAGAGAGATCAGCTCGTCACAGCGGCCCGTTACCATAGAGATAAACTTGGCCATGGTGGATTTGCCAGAGCTGATGTCGTCAGTACTTCGCTGCACTGATTCGCTGCAAAGAACAAATTACAACAAGGATGTTGACCGGTCTCTGCTGGGATGACAGCTACACCATAGCTCAGTGGTTAGAGCATCGCTGGCTACACGCCAAGGTCCATGGTTCGAGTCCTCGTGGTGGCAGTCAAATATTTTCTTCAAACTTTCCCCGTTTGCATCTCTCCCTCAAACCTGTGATGTAATGCAAAGTTTCTAATATTCACGATGTACTAATATTCGCTAGTTAGCGAGGAGAGAGCAACGCGAACATTAACCAGCGCGAAATCAAACTTCAACAATGGCTGTATGTAGGTGTTGGCAGCCAGAGTGCTCCGTGAACATTTCCCATCGAAAAAAACTTGCCGGTTCTGAGAATGTGCGAAAACTTGTGAAATCGCATCTAGGGATATTCACAGGGCGGCTGGGGCAACAATATAAGTTGGTTCGGTCAAGAGAGAGGTTGCGCACAACGAAAATTCGTAGCACCGTAATGAAAATGTTTAACGAAAAAAGCTTACGAATATTCGTAAAACGTGAGGTTGCGCAAAACGTGCGAACTTGTTCGCAGTGGGTCGACACGGCGGCCGCACGGGTGCGAAGAGTCAAGACAGGGAGTTGTAAAATAGCAGTATTTTAGTACTCCAAGTGACGAAAAACATTTTCGTAGATTTGCTCTGTTTCGGTCACGTTTGGACGGATCTTCGTAGCAACTTTCGTTACTCGAACCCGGACGGTCAAAATCTTACGAAGTTTCTTTGTCTCTATTACCAAGAGTACATAACCCCCCAGAGTGTGCAACACCTGATCCAGCTCTGCATAGGGTCTTGGTCGAGGGTTATCGGATCTTTGCGTCATAATACCGTACACATCTGAGGGGAACCCGGGGAGTCGCGGGTACTCTCGGATCAAAAACGACGGTGCCCTGCCTCGAGATCGGCCTTGCGCTGGTGTGGAGTGTACGCATGACATCAGAAGATCCGATTCCGCTCGACCAAGACCCTATGCAGAGCTGGATCGGCGTTGCACACTCTGGGGGGGGGGGGGGTATGTACTCTTGGTATTACCCAGTAACCACAGTGTGTCAGACAGCCCCCCCCCCCCCCCCCCCCCTCTACACATTCACATTACTTGCAGTACTATACAGAAGGGGGGGGGGGGGGGTCCGCCACACCCTGCACATTCGTATTACTTATAGTAATAGAGAGGGGGGGGGGGGGGGGGGGGTGCGACAAACTCTACACATTCACATTGCTTACAGTAATAGAGGGGGGGGGGGGGGGGGGGGGAGGGGGTCTAACTAGCCACAGCAGCAAAGGAGAAAAGGAAAGGAGAAAGACACGGTGAACAATTGAGGTGTGTGTGTGTGGGGGGGGGGGGGGACCAGCAACAATGATGAGGCGGGTGGACACCAAAACGATCGCTTGAACATCAAGTTTCGCGGTTTGTGCGCAGCATGCAAACACACACACACACACGCACATGCGCACACATACACACACATGTACACACATGTACACACACACGTTCACACACACGTACACACACACACACACACACACACACACACACACATGTACACACACACACACACACACACACACGTAAAGTAACCGTCAGTCTAGTTAGACACAACAAGCCAGCT